CTCATATTCTATCGTGTCAATAATCTCCTTGTATTGCGCAAGCACAATGGGATTTGAGGTATCTCCATTTGCATGAGTCTGAGCTATAACGATGAGCGCCTCTTCTGTCCGCCCCACATATGCTAGCCATCGAGGTGATTCCGGCACAAATGGCAAAATGGCAATGCAAAGAATACTAAAGATCCCTTGGACTAATGAAGGAACTCTCCATGCCCAGGTCGAGTTGTAGGTAGCTGTCTGATACGTCACACCAGCTGCAATTAGTCCCCCTGCTGTTTGTTAGATGTTAGGGTTTATAATGAACAATCAAAGCTCGTACCAACATAATAACAATCGTTCAACACTCCTAGTCCCCAGGCTCTCCAATTGTAGGGAAGTGTCTCAGCAACATACGTCGGCCCCGTAAGAGTCGAGGCCGAAGTTCCATAACCGACTAAAATCCTAGCTATTACAAACATGGCAGTATTCTGCGCAGCCGTCTGAAGGATAACAGACAAGAATGTAGCAACGGCCGCCCAGAACAATGCATATCTGCGTCCGATGATATCGGTTACTTGTCCATAAGTCAAACCAGCAATAGCGCCACCAATCCAGAGCGCGGCTGTGTTCAGAGAAAGAGTTGCGGTGTTCAGATTGAAATAATCTGTGTAGCTGGGGAGTATATTGAGTCCGTTCCTATCTTTTCGTGAATATCAAGGAATGAACTACGGGGGAAAGTGGATTTATCGGGGAGACTAACATCATCGACCCATCGTAACCAAAAGTAGTTGACGTGATGCACGAACATAGGATTAGGAGGATTGATACTACCCATGACGAGCCCGAAACTCTTGGGCGTGTTATTTGGGCCAGTATTGTCTCCGCCATTGCAGTTTCAAATTCTATAAGATTAGGTGACAACTATTTTCAACCGGTGGACGTCAGTAAGGCTCAAAAATACGTCTTTCGATGCTGCTGCGAGAATTTTACGTTCGACTTGAAAATTTAAACAAAGCATAAGAATAAGGTTCATGTTTATGTTTCTTATCTCAGCATGAAACTGTGATAGGAAAATCTTGTGCCTGGGGAGTCAAGTCGCCTTATCTCACTGCATGCGGAGAGATGCTCCAATGCATGTGCAAGGAAGATCGAAGCCATCGAAGCTTGTCAAGGCTTGTTTGACTTAAGCGGCTGCTTCGATCCTAGATACCAACCTTCCTTTCACGTATCTAGGCATGGATCATGGCGATAATTTGTTGGTCTATCGCTCGTACCCACTGATGATTTACTGTGTTGACTGATGTTGGCTGTGGTCACAACTCTAGCGAGCCGACAGAACTCTCGAGTTCTTATCGCAGACCCCGGTGACCCCGCCCGGCTTTTCAGTGGAGGGACGATGGCAACAATAACACGTGACATGGATCTGCATTTCGTCCTGATTGGGCAGGTGTGACGAAGAGGGGTAAAAGTTCCACCGTGTCGTCGTATATAGGTAAGAGTATAATGGCTTCTCACGACCTTTCAATTTCACGCCTCTTTTGTTTAATTTTCCTCTTTTTTAGAAGTAAACTTCGCTATGTATCTTCCTTTCCTCTTGACTTTTATATCTCAGACTGTCGCTTTCAATGCCCCATCCGATGTCCCAACCTGGTGCGGAAAGCCGTACATGAGCACGTGAGTTGTGATAGGGTCCCGTGTCGCGAGTTTGCTGACATTTGTTAGAAATCACTCGTTAGATCCAGGAGGGCAATTCAAATTCCCAGAACCTCAGTACGATCCGCTACTCTATGTAACGATACAACCTCGATACTCAATTTTCCTTGAGAGTGACGAAGAAGGAACTTTCATTATTGATGCCAGTATATCCCATATCTTTGGCGGATCATATAAAAATGCTACTTTTAATACACCTGGAAGCAATATTAGCTCGCCTTTCACGACGCTTGATATTGAAATTTACAACGAAGAGTCAGGTGACTTACTTGCCACCAATAAGGTTCCCGTGAACTCAACTGGAAATCTAATAGAATTTTCCTTCTCTTCATTTACTGCACGATTACAGCCTTTTGCAGTCTCGATCCATGCCACTTCTCCTGACGGTCAACAAACTTATACTGCAAGCACTAATGTCTATGTACTACCATCACGTGGATATGGTAGTGCTGTGAAAATTGATAACCTCTATGGGGGACTCTATGTTCAAAATGAAAAAAATGATTGGGATGGTTGGTATGCAATCTTTCCAAATGGATATTACGCCGACGGTTCTTATGTAACACCCGACAACGTCTCGCTGGCCAATCTCGAGGCATATGCAGCACTCGGTTTCAACACCATAAATATCGTTCCAGACGGTGGTCTTCCTGACCAATCTTATCCCACTGCACAACTCATAGAGTATTGGGATAAAATGGATCAGCTGAACCTTTTCAATCTCTACGATATGCGATTCGCGTTCCAAAACTCGACACGCATCTCGGAACAGGTAGCTCTCTGGCAAAACAGAACTACTCTCCTGTCTTGGTATACCGCCGATGAACCGGATGGATGGGCATATTCTCTTAACTCTACCCAACTTGCTTATTCACAACTTAAATCACTAGACCCGTACCATCCCGTCAGTCTGGTCCTCAACTGCCAGAATTTCTACTACCCCGAATACTCAGCTGGTGCAGATATAATATTTCAAGACGCCTACCCGGTTGCGATAAATGCCACTTGGTCCATTCCGTGGGGAACTCCTTGCAATGAAACTTATGGAGATTGTGGGTGTGATAATTGTGTTGGAGAACTAGGAGACGTAGCGACTCGACTTGATGATATTCAAAACTATCAAGCAAATATAGGACCAGGTGTTCAAGGAGGCCTAGATAAACCTACATGGTCAGTAGTCCAAGCGTTTGGCGAATCGCAGTATTGGCAAAGTATACCGAGTGCAGCAGAAGTAGAAGTAATGATGATGTTGAGCGTTAATCATGATGCGAAGGGAATTACGTATTGGATTTATCCAAGTACAGATTCTGCCAACGCTGGGAGTGCAGATTTGGGCAAGGTGTTGCAGAATTCACCTGCACTTGATTTCTTGTTTGGGACGAAGGCAATTAAAGGACTGGGAAGTGGTTTATTAGATGTAAGTGCGTGGATTGTAGGAGAGCAGATGATGGTTGGTATTGTTAATGGAGAGTATGTTGAATCTGTAGATGAGCTCTCGGTAACTTTGCCGGGAAACGTGGTTTCCTTAAATCAGACTTTGTATGGAGAATCGGGCTGGATGATTAGTGATGGCAAACTGTCGAAATCGGGTCTGGTCGGTTTGGAAGTAGACATTCTGGTGGTAAATCTTAGTTAGTACCCCAAAATTTAACGCGCTCATCGTCAATCCGAAGTCTTCATATCTAATACCATTCTAGAATCCATCAATACCTTTTTCGAAAATGATAGTGGGGGTATCCATAGAGATGAACTATGAAAATTAGACTGATCCAAGATGGCGCACGACTATTAGCAAAGACCACTGTCAATTTTGCTCTACTTCACACTCAATTGAATAGAAACAGCAAAAGGAAAAAAGAGCTTCATAATCAAAATCTGGGGTACCGCTCTACTTCGAGGCGGGAATTGTACTTTAACGGGTAGATCAATCGCGGACTTTATTAGTCCTCGAACAGCCCGTTTGGATCGGCACTTAAGATCGTCATACTGAAACATGACATCGCAACACTTTAATTCAATTCTCCGTCTGATCATGCCAGCAATTGTATGGGCGGATGTAACTGTTACCGTAAAAACTCGACAAACTGAGATCCTACTTAACCGCATTTAGTCTAGTATAAACGCCTCACTCTACAAACTAAATCAATTTGTAAGCAAGAAACATTTTTTTGAAGAACTTCAATAAATTATTATTAAATCAATAATTAATATTTTGCTTTCAAATTAAAGATCTTATTAGTAATTAATAATAAAAAAAAATCAAAATCAACTTTTTTTCTAATTTCCAATTTTGAAAAATAATTCACGTGCTTTAAATATGTGAGTGATTAGAAAAAGTGGAAAAAATGTTAGATTTCAATAAGTCCGGTTGGGGAGATCGACAATATGCTAGGCTAAATGCGGTTAAGTAGGATCTCAGTTTGTCGAGTTTTTATGGTACTCCCCCCTAATGAATTTAGGCGCTAATCGACGGAGTTTTGGACGGAGTCCGAGCTAACCCCACTCCTTCCCTTCACTCGGCTTTTTCACCTCTAACTATTGGTCCTGCCGTACCAAGTCCACCATACATACATTATTGCATTGGATTGCACCTTAACCTGTCGAATGATATTGGATGGATTTCTGAGCTGTCACGTTGCATTGCATTGGATCTTGAAGATTTCACTTTTTGAAGCGAGTTTTGGTGGGAAAACCAATTGCGATGTGCATGAAGTCAAGGATCGTGACAGCTTGGTGCGTACGATGTCTTATTTCACGGCCTACGATGGACAATGGATTGTCCAGAAGTTATGGCATCTTCCAAGCCGTTACATTGTACTCTGCAAACATTCCCATTGCAGTAAAATCTCTCTATAAGGATACCGAGTTTGGTGAGCTTTCCCACGGATATAGGGAGCTATTTCTGTAGCGAGGTGACCCACTAGTCGCTGTCTAATAGTATTCTGCTCCCGATTGATCCCAATCAGGCCATATTTCTGTAACTGTTTTACCCTAATAAATACCAATCCAAATTTTGATACATCTATTATATGATAGTTATATCCTGACGGTTTTATTGGCTTAATAAGAATACACAAAATTGAAAGATCTGCAAGTGCACCCTCATAAAGAGGTTAATCTTATGTATAGGATCCTTCAAGAGGGTTTGTCTCGTATACTCACTGTATTTTATGGAAATAAAGTCATGACAATGGTGGAGTGATGGCCCTGATCTCTCTCACTTTCCTATATAAAGATGAAGTCCTCAATTTCATATTCGATATCAATCAACGATTTCAATCTTCTCTTTTGATATGGCACAGCTCAACATGGATTTCTTTGTCTGGTCTGGATCTCTTCAGACAGCCCAACTAGTTTTTGTCCTCATCTTTTTCGCGTTCTCTGTCAAAGTATGAACAATCCTCAAGATACCAAGTTCTATATACTAACACGTCCAGATTATTCATCAAGCATACCTCACACCTCTGCGCAAGATTCCCGGCCCATGGTATGCGCGGTTCACCAATCTCGTTCTTAAATACCATATATTCACCGGTCGTCGCATTCAATACGTTCATTCCCTCCATCAAGCTTATGGACACATAGTCCTCATTACTCCAAACGAAGTATCATGTTCTTCAATTCCTTCTTTCAAAACTATCCACCGCATCTCCAAACCTTTTCTCAAGTCTACATGGTATCAGAAATTTGTGAGTGGACCAGACGGTGTTTTTAACATGATTGATGTAAAAGACCATGGTGTCCGTCGCAAGATGTTTTCGCATGCTTTCAGTAAGAGCTCTTTGAAAGTAACTTGGGAGAGCGAGGTTAGGAAGAAGACGAACATGGCGGTGGAGAAAATCAAAAGAGATGCTTTGGTAGGAGAAGCAGACGTCTTGAAATTCCTCATGTTCATGGCTGCAGACGTCATAGGACATCTCTGTTTTGGAGAGAGTTTTGGAACACTAGAAAAGGAACGGGTAAGTTCTTCCCTTTCTACAGTTTGCTTAGTTATTCATTTTAACTCTAGAAAACTCAATACATCGAAGATCTTCAACAGGTGGCAATGGTATCTGGTATCCGCGCCGAATTCCCTGGGCTTTTCAAAATTGGAAGGATGTCAGGTCTTTCTTTCCTCAAGACTCCTGATGATCGACTGAGAGATCATGCATCAATAGCTGTCCGAAATGCAAAATCACAGAGTGATGCTACTCCTAACATATTCCGCAAGATACTCGCCGAAGAAAAGTCTGAGAATGGGGAGGGATCATTGTCAGATTTTGACATTCAACAGGAAGCCTCGAACTTTATTGTAGCGGGGACTGATACGACTGCTAATACGCTTACTTTTCTGCTATACAACATTTTGAAAAATCCTAAATTGCGGAGACAACTAGAAGATGAGGTTGACACTTTAGGCGATGATTTCGAATCTAAGGATGTTGAAGGATTACCGTTCTTGAATGCAGTCATGGAGGAAGGATTGAGGCTATGGGGGGCAGCGCCTGGGGGTCTTCCTAGAGTGATTCCCCAAGAAGGTGTTGAATTAGATGGATACTTCCTTCCTGGATCCTTAACAGTTTCCACGCAATCTTACACAATTCACCGGGATCCGGAAATCTTTCCAGAGCCTGAAAGGTATTTATCCCTCCATTCACCCGATTCCCAATCTCGGATCGTCCCCTTCCTCCAGAAGTCTCCACTATTCCGAGCCGTAGTCAGTTTCCACGGCCCGATTCGCAGATTGAAAGCCTTGAATCGTTGGACTACGGCCCAGACAATTTGAAACTGCCTGTAATCCACTTTTTCCACAAAACAAGTAGCTAACTCATGATCCGTCTAATATAGTTTTAAGCCCGAACGCTGGCTAGGTCCCAAATCAGACGATTTCAAAACGGCGAATCACGCTTTCGGTGCAGGAACACGCACATGTATTGGTATTCATTTAGCGAGAATGGAAATTCAGCTAGTTCTTGCTTCATTTTTCAGGGAGTGCAAAGGAATTAGAATTGCCTCGAGCCAAACTGATGAGGGAATGGATATTGAGAACTTCTTTTTGATTGCGCCAAAGGGACATGAATGTATTGTTACGATGAGAGAAGGATTTTAACAAGTGAGTCAGAAGATATTGGAGGGGAAGCTATACTTGTTTTTGGTTATCGGTCATCTTGTATTGTAGATACTCGAATACTTCATTCAATGATTTGTTCCCATTGTACCCCTGAATATAGCATCTGGAATAGTGTAAAGCTGCATATCATGAGGGATGTGCAAAGAAATAAAACGGAGACATGTTCTAAACCACAAAAATGACATATTGAGCTAATATTGGGAAGCTCTCGATGCGTTCAAACTTGGTCCCGATATACTTGTAAGGGAATTACTTCGAAGCAGACGCTACTTGACATAGAATACTGAATCTGCACATGAAGTTTTTACAACCCTATACTAACCGCATCTGCCTCAATCTTCATGAGCATTTCAAGTTCTTCTTCGTACCTGGTGTGATCGTCGTAGATGTCAATCCCATTTCTTAAAAATTCATCCCATCGCGCCGTCATTGTTTCTTGGAGATGAAAGGCATATTCCAAATGACACTCATATTCATAGTTGAATTGGCTATCAAGGAGCCAAAAATCCAATAAAACTTCGTGACAGCCCTCTTTTATGGCGTCATATCGCTGATTAAAGTGTCTTGCTGAGGAGAAACGACCTTTACAGCAATCTGCGAAAATCTCCCACGCAATATTCAAACCCAATGCTCTTGCTCCAAAAGCTCGTACCATGCTTGCTAGCCGTACGTGACATTCAAACATTTCGTGGCTATTGTAGACGTGACCATTACGATCAATCGTGAAGTTACACAAGGCGTTTGCGATGTTAGTCCGTAGGTCTGACGTCGATGGTAGTATAATCATCGAAGAATCTGAATCTTCATCCCCTATTTTCTCACAATACTCTTTCATATTCAGACCACGGTCAAAGAGTGTCTGCGCAGAAATTCTATGCACAACATACTTCATTGGAATCTCCCATTCGAAGAGATATTCATCCTTGAATAACGCAGGGTTTCTTGCACGAAACCTATTGGCCATCTCTTTTGCAGAATGACATACATCTAGTTCCCTATCCGGAACTTGAATAAAGGCAATCCAAATATCGGACAGATCTTCTCCATCTTTGTAATGCTTATCGAACGCAGTTTTTAGAGCTCTAATGATACTAGAAGTCACCGAAACCAAAGCGGTTGGTTTTCGATTAGAGAGCTTCTTATGGTTCTCGAATTCCCGTTCTAGGTTTATATGAGAAGGTCGATGCCAACCCTGGTTTGCTTTACCAGAAACGAGGCCACCAGCGCTTGTGGGTGAATAAACGCGATAGAAAAGTTGAGAGGACATAATATCGTATCCAAAATTATCTCAATCTAGGGATTTGGAAGAGAAACTGGTAACTGTTGACTTGAAATGGAGGTTAACATTGCGAAAATAAGTAGTAGTTGTATGAGGCTCTGAGCTATTTATCCGGTGCCAGCTGTCAGCTTTTGACCCCGCATTCTTCTTGGCCACTCATTTCATATACAACTAGGTAGATAATTAAATTCGACACACACTCGTCAACACCCAATTAAGGATTTCAAAAGCATTACCCCGTAAACAATGTAACTGTAATTTCATGTTCAAATAACATAAAAGAGTTCTGGGTTGGATGAATGACAGACAAGTAACATTCTCTGGATGAGATGCTTGAGATACTAGTTAGAAACACACTTGTTTTGGACAATAAATCCGTTGCGCCCTTGAATGAGAGCGTTGATTGAACCGCTAAGTTCTGGATACGTCAATCATCGTCAATTGGATAAAACCATGTTTCAAGTTATCCAACGAAATCCCGAAACATTTTTGACTGAAATGTCTTTCTCGAACACTAGAGCGATGACAAAACAAACGAAAATCCCCAAACGCCTTTTTTGTATTTTTTTTTTGGTTTGATTTTGGATTGTTTAAAGTTTTTTTTTCTTCTTATTTTTTGTTGAGTTTAACTGTACCGTGTATCTAAAAATCAGTAAAGGAAATCATAATCATGAAATCTCAAGCCCAGCAATCTCACACCCCGGGATTCTCATCTTCGACTTTTGCATCTGCTACTCTTCTCTCTGTTCTGTACGTCTTAAACTTCCTCGCTGACACTCTCTCATTGAACATCTCATCTAACTCTCCATATGTTCTATCCTTCGTCTCTGGTATCTCTATCCACACAATAAACCATGCAATACAAGCTGTTGCAAAAAATATCCATCCCATTTTCCCACCTAGATTTCCTTCGGTCGCATTGAACATGTATGGTACAGCTACATTCCAAACAGTAGAATAAGAATAGTTGAAAAAGAAACCGAGGGATTGGGATTTAGCTCGTAGACGGAGAGAGGAGATTTCTCCGGCAAGGGAGATGGAAGGGCCGATGGAGGGGCCGATGGTGAACCAAACCATTTGGAGTGTTACACCCACACACCTGTTTAGTGAATTAGCTATGTTCTGTACCAAGTGTGATAAAGGGTAGAGGGAATGTGACGCACCATGATGATGCTTTCGATGAAGAGACACTTGCTGCAATACCCATGATCAAGAAGAGAACAACAGCAACTGAAATACCAGATAAGATCATTTTTCTTCTTCCAATGAAAGTCATGAACCAAAATGTAAAGAAACTACTAATCAACGCAAAACCAATACCCAATTCAATCATCATTGAAGATTGAGATGAAGAAAGGCCGGCTGTGATCATAAAGTATGGAGCGTTAGAGATGAAAGTAGCACCAATCATTTGATTGAGACCGTTTGTGTAAAGAATGATTCTTGTCCTGCGCCAATTTGTACCTTTAAAAAGGTCCATGTAAGAAGTTTCGCTACTGGCGTTGGCTTGGAACTCTTCTTCCCGTGTAATTCGGACCATACTACCGAGAATGGGTTCGACTGAGATCGACTTGTTGTAAAGTTTTGAAAGAGCTTTGGTGGCAGAAGATAAATTGCCTTTTCGGACAAGGTAATAGGGTGATTCAGGAATGATGAAAGCGAATAAAATAATGACTAGCGGCCAAACCCAGTTTGAGGCGAAGAGAACTTTGTATGAAGACTGATCCATGATTGTTACACGATCGAAGGCAACAGATGCCGCGATAAGGTATCCTAAATTCTTCAAATAGTTAGCAACACAGTCTAATGATTGAGAATGAGGCACCTTACCATGCTAAAAGCATACGCTGATAATGCTACTCCGCGAATCCTAAGAGGAGTAATTTCTGATACATAGATTTGACCGGTAGTCAAAGCCATACCAAGTCCAATAGCATTCACCATTTTGCCTCCGAGAAAAGCTCCAGGTGTTGTGGCTGTGTATATGACAGCAGTCCCGGCAATTGAGATGAGTCCAGATACACAGAAGGAAACACGACGACCGAAACGATCTGACACAGGGGCAGCTCCCCAAGCACCAAAACCTGTACATACTTGTGCCATGGCATTCCACAATGATTGCCAATAAGCAGGTATTATGTATGTACCAGGGGATATTTGTTCACCAAATTGCGCTCTAAAAAGAACTGTCAGTTATTGATCCCATAACAACTAGAAATAAACTGACTGGAATGGCACCATGTTCAAACAAAGTGAAAGTGCAATGTTATCGAATCCGTACATCAGTGCCCCCATATTAGCATAGATACAACATAGCACGATGAAAGGATTTTGTTTGATTGTCTGCCAAATGCTGAGGTCCGAAACATCGGGTTGAGTTGTGTCGACCGTTTCCACGCGTTCGAGATGCTGTGCTGACAGTTTAACATTATCGTCTGTGGTCTTGTTGTCCACAACAGGTGAATTTGTTGTCGCCATCGTGCTACTCAAATTGAAGAGATGCTAATCGTCAATTGACGAGATTTAAATTAAGAAAAGGAGGGGGAAAATGGCACTGTTTTAATTCAAGGCGAAACGCTTGTTGATAGTGGAGTGGGGTGGAGTGTGGAGGAGATGTGTTATGTGGAGGGAGTGTGGAGTGCAGCAGAATGAAGCACTTGGTATGGAGAAGATTCTCGGTGGCTGAACTGGAGAAGTCATTGCGTTGGATGTGTGGGGATTGGGGTACGACTCCCCTAAGCCGCCTTGTCACTGCCCTCAATAGGGTGATATCCATGACACGGCCAACATTAGCGATAAGCTTGACGGTACTTGCCAGAGCTAATTTGGAAAGATCTAGGCTGGGGTCATGTCTTATTGAAGGAAGCCAAGGACACTTGTCGCTAACTTTCTGATAATCGCATAAAAAACTGCTTCAGCGAGATGACAGGCTACGTGTTCTATCAGTGATATTAGGCTTCATAATGCTGCTATTGCCAGCGGCGAAAACACTGCCGAAGATCTCATCCAGATGCAGATTCCCGTGACGGCATGTCTTATGGAGATTGAAGATACCCGGCGGCAGCTAGACTAATATCGCATTCTCGGGGTAAGTACTAGAGAGATGTGGGTATGTGTTGGTACATTTCGGTCGACGCTGTTTTGTCCATTCCAAGCACGAGCCCTATGAGCGTCCGTGGTCCATTTAAGCGAGCTACTACTCTTCTTGGAACGTCCACTCTTCCACCTCTTCCACTTCACTCCTTCCACCTTCTCTCCGCATGGGGTAGTGGACGGTATGGGGTACACTAAACACGCTCGAGACATGTTGACGAATCTTTAACCGGACTAAAGTTTCAAGAAGAAAAGTAATTTAAATCTTTGACTACCTTAAAGAATACTTAGTAGCCATGAGCTGCCATTCTTACTTTCAATTGAGCTATTCTTTCTACCACTCAAGCTTTCACCATGCCCTCCTCTCCGTTTCTCACTGACGAAGCACAATGGATCTGGGTGCCAGATTTTGACGATACCATCGATCCTGGTCAATTTGTTCTATTTCGAAAGTCATTTACTCTGGAGAAGCTTCCTACTGAAGAAACAATCCTTCATGTCTCTGCAGATACTCGGTATCGTTTGTTTTTGAACGGCAAACGAATCAGTTTTGGGCCTTGCAAAAGTTATCCAACAAGATGGTATTACGAGACCGTGGATATCACTCCATTTCTGCAGCCTGGAAAGAATGTGTTCAGTGCAAGAGTCTTAAGGTTCTCCGCAACAACTGCGGCCGGCACATCGATGGCCAGAACTTCTCTACCAGGACTCATTCTCTGGTGTCAGATAGGGGTGAGAAGATTCTGAGGTGGCGGTCTACACAATCAATGAGCTAATATATATGAGCAGGAACAAAAGCTTCATACCGATGCAACTTGGAAAGCCGCTAAAGACCAAGAAACATCACTACTACCATCTTCAAAATGGGATTATCGAATGGGCCCTCCTTTTCTAAACCTCAATGAAGAGGTTCATGCGGACAATAAATTTTTGGGATGGGAGGAAGTCGAGTTTGATGATTCATGTTGGAAGAACGCTGAGATAAAGACCTTGAAGAGGAAGATGTCACCAATGCTAGATGCAAGAAAACTCATGCCCAGGCCCATCCCTCACCTTCCTGAAATATCTCAGCGATTTGACAATGCAGTAAAATGCTCTGAAAATTCGAGCTTGAGCGACTGGAAAATGCTACTGCAAAACGATAGACCTTTGAAGTTAGAGGCTGGCACAGATACAATCGTCGAAATCGAATCGAATAGCTTGACTACTGGATTTCTTGAATTTAGCTTCGAGATTGACGGCTATGCATCTCTTGCACCCAAGATTGAAATTCTCTGTGCTGAATCCTATGAGAATGATATGGATAGTGGTCAGCCAAGGTCAAAAGAGGACCGTACGAATTTCAAGACTGGAAAATTGTATGGACCGATTGATGCATACATCTGTCATGCAAACCAGACAAAATGTTATTACGAACCTTTCTGGTGGCGCACATTCCGATATATTCGGATATCTGTAGCGTGTCCCCCACATACCTCACTTACGTTTAACTCCATCACATACCGTTCCACTCATTACCCTTTACCTATCACTACTACTATAAGTAGTACCCCTCTTGTGGAAAAGCTCCACTCGACATCTGTCAATACTCTCCTCAATTGTATGCATGAAACCCATGAGGATTGTCCGTACTATGAACAAAATCAATTTACCATGGACACTCGCTCTCAACTTCTATTCTCCTACACAATTTCTCACTCGGACCTCCTTGCCCGGAAAACAATTCATGAGTTCTTTGCATCTCGTAGAGATGACGGGCTATTGGAAACGCACTTTCCAAATCCTAGCCGCTCCATGAACATACCTCAGTTCTCTTTGTACTGGATATTTATGATTCATGATCATTCATCACACTTCCAAGATATCACATTCATCAAAAAGTATTTGGGCACTATTGATGGAATTTTGGATCATTTCAGTGATCGTGTTAATGAGCTCGGCCTTGTGGGACAATTTCTCGAAGAAGGTACGTGGGCCTTCGTTGATTGGGTGAAAGAGTGGTTTATTCCAGGACGAGGATTTTCTAGTCTAGGAGTTCCCAAAGCATACTTTGACAAAGGAGCTGCAACTATCAACAGCTTAGTTTATGCAATGGCTTTGAGGTCTGCTGCAGTCTTGTCCGAAGCCGTTGGCAGGAAGGACACTGCAAGTGAATACCTTGATAGAGCTAGTGCTATCATTCAGTCTGTCAATAAAAATTGCTATGATAGCAACAAGAGTCTGTATCTCGATGGGCCTGGCGCTATTGGAGAGAGTTCACAACATGTCCAGATTTTCGCAGTACTTGCCGATGCAATTAGTGGAGAGTCAGCCAAAGATCTAATGAGAAAGACTATTCACGAAAGAGAAGCATTGGGGCTTGCAAAGGTATCATTCGCAATGTCCTTCTATATGTTCCGAGCTGTTGCTAAAGCTGGAATTTATGAAGAAGTTTGGGAGGAGTTACTAGGCCCATGGAAGAAGATGCTTGACCAGAATTTGACCACTTGGGCAGAGAGTGAAAGCATGGTTAGAAGTGATTGCCACGGATGGAGTGCAACTCCAATGTATGAGATTGTGAGGGAAATTGTTGGCATTCAATATCCAACCACAGAAGATAGCGAAGGATGTCTAACAACGGTCATTAAACCTAGATATGATTTAGTAAAGCATATGAAAGGGACATTTGTGGTTACGGGAGGTGGAAGTGTAGATGTTTCCTGGGACGACTCTGGAGTGGTTAAGGTTCTCAGCTCTAGTGACATGCGGGTTCAAATGGTACTAAAGGGAGTAACTCACGATACTAAACTTTTAGAAGGCGTGGAGCAATCTTTTAAACTATAAAATAGATCGTATAAGGCATAATACAATGATTTCAATCATGGCCGGCCATCGTTTTCCTAAAATTAGTAATGATGATTCGCTTTCGGGAAAGTTTTCTATCTCATAGAATACATGAAAAATAGACTGCAATGCCGGCTTGTATGAAATACATATCTCATACTTAATGTGTTATTTGGCCGATACCAGCAGAAAAATTTGAGAAATACGTATCGAAATTGTTCATCGACCACACCCTTTAGAATTTTCGGCGTAGATTTCATTGCCATGGTCCCTACACTTGATGCGGTTTATAAGCGATGACGAAATCAGCTGCATATTTCCATTATGATCATTGATATCTCCCTGTAATAATGTATACCATGATTCGATGGAACATCAGCAACAGATAATAGTCGTGTGGTACAACACAACAGATTATTCCCACAGTGATGGTGAATCGCTGGGATACAATTCATTCAACCGTACCAAACACAATCATCTCAACAAGTTTCTTTCTTTGAACGGTATAGATAATCATGTATTGAAACATCTCTGCCGTATTGACACACAATTTTTGTATAAAGTTCTGGCATTCCTCTTTATTAAGACCTTAATGTTGATTCTATAACCCTCGACTTCTTCAAGTAACTTAGAACAAAACTTTTCGCGGCATAAAAGGACACAGCTTCGAACAAAAAGAACGCAAAAAACTTTTATTTCTTACTCCATTCACGTTCTGAGCTAAGAATCTCATCACAAAACACAAAGAATAAATCATCAATCATGAATCAAGCAGCACGCGCCTTGAATGAAATATCACAAAGCCTTAATTTCAACAAGAGACTTCCTCCTTTGGATGCCTATGAAGGTCTAGATACACCTCCACAACTTGAATACACGGATCAGACTTCCTGGATTACTGTTCGTATACATCCTTCCCTTTATTCTCATTCCAGAACCATCTTCCGCCGTCAATCTCGAAATATTTTTCTACCCTTTTATGCAAACTTACGGGCTAATTTCAACATTACAGAGCCACGCAAATAATTATGCTCCTTCTGCCATCGTTCTCTCCCAAGCAAAGTCAGGCACATGGCAACAAATGCTCGCTAGTCTCGAGGCAATCAACAGACTTCGTCATCCAAATGTTGGAGAGGCATACATCAAGTGGAGAAGTCAAGACATGCTTGTCAAACGTCTCTGGGAGGATGTGAAATTCCCTGGTGTAGATCCAGATCCAGTCTATGTGAGTGCTTTTCGGATGAGAGCTTGAAGATAAAGTAGGATAAAACTAATGATACATGATAGACACAAATCCGAAGAAAATACTGTGCAGCTGTTAAAAAGTTGATCAATGAGAAGGCAGAAAAAGGAGAGGATGACACTGCTGCTCTTGTAAGTCTTTTCCGTCCATACAAATGTTCTTACCAGATGAAATTGCTGACAAATCCAAGATCTTCCTCAACGAAACTTATAACAAGAAACTCATGTTAGCACGAAAATTTGAGGTTAGTACCGAGAGCTTCACTGACCGCGTTCGTGCTATCAAGGCCAAGAAGGCTAAGGAGGCGCAGGAGGCTAAGAACGCTGAGAAGAGAATCCAGGAGATTGAGGCAGAAGAAGAGAGAGAAGAGATGATGGAGCAGGGCGAAGACGAGGACTTTGTGGTTGTGGAGATGGAGGATGCGGATGATGAGGATTTCGAATGGGAGGGTGATGATTGGGATATGTCTTGATTAGCTTCTGAGGAGGATTGGGATCGGTAGCTGTTGGTGGCTTATGGAAGGGAGCATTACTATCTAGGTAATCTGGCAGGTTGTTGTGGGTTGCGCGTCTGGTTTATAATGCATTCTTAGTTTTTGCTTTGGGTTTATATTTTGATAAACACCCGAAATTGAATATAATATTCTACTTTACACATTTCTGTATCCTCGTGGATATGCATTTCAGATGGAATCACTCCCTCATTGAAGACAGATGATATTTTACATTGATAATCATCTTGATTAAAAGTAATAATCGGGTGATATCATGATCATATTGTTTCTCGTTTAACCAATTTCTCATGACTTGCTGATTTTACAATTACCCATTTAAAGCAACTAAGATTTCTCTATTATGGTAGCCTGATCTTCTCATAATACCATGTCCATATCACTTCAATTATCCAAACCCTTTATATTTCATCTGATACTACCCACATTTTAATTAACATGTATAGACATAAGCACCTGGCATTTGTCTAGTATGTAGATCCGGACTATTTGATTTCCTGCTAGGATTATCTGGTTTTTCTTTCCAGTTAAATTGAATTCTAAATGTAAAGATGAAAGAGGAAGAGACTTTCGATTTCTGGGCGAAATAATATCTTGCGTTGGTTCTTTCCATTGGTTCCTTTCCCCTTAATTGTATCTCGTCAAATTTACAGTACCGCAGACTGGGCAAATTTATTACAGGCACCACAAAAACTGTGGAAACCCCCAATGAATCTTTCAACGACATACAAGTCTGAGATGCCTCCTATAGCTGTACAACACATCAAACCAATAGAATATCAAGACTGATGCCAATAACCAGTAGCCTCCCATTCTCGAAATACAATCTGAAACGTTGAATGGAATCGTACAACATCAATAACTTTTGAATCATTCAAAAACTGAGTTTCTGGGGTGACACTAGTTTACAGCTTGACCGTACTGCATAGAAAAATAATCATATCCAGTTCCAGAAGTACTTCTTGCTCACACAAACAGCTTTTTCAGTATCTTCCTCGAAATCTTTACAACAAGTTCTGTAATACCTTTGGCATCTCTATTACGCATCCAAACGTAACTCAGGATCTGTAGTAATAATTCTCCTGATAACTTTTTCACATCTAGAGGTCACTACGAGGAAATCAAGATATCAAAAGATCAGAATGGATCTCCCCGAATTCACACCTCAATTTATTCAGCTACAGAACAAGCATTTCCATGAAAGCGATGCTTATCATTCCTCAATGTTCTGGGAGAAGGCTATTCCCAGACTTGCTCGCCACACGATATCGGGCCAGGACCAAAAGGCTGTCACGGATAGATACCAAGCAAAGTGTGTCGAATATTATGGAGATACGGTGCACAATAATTACTTTATGTACTGTTGGGATAAATCCATCTCGAACTATTTCTGTAAGTGCTAGTATAAACTTTAAGGAGGTTAGCCAGGGTAACTAATGTGGTTCGATTCTAGTTCCCGGTGAAACTTTTGTCGGATCAGATCCTGATCCCATCTATGTAAGATATTTGCCTCAGATATCAGAAATTTTAGAGGCTAATCTCATCATTCTAGTCGGAAGTCTTTGCGCAGTACTTCAATGAGCAGGCGCAGGTCAGAGATGAAATGAACGAATGTGGCGTTGAGGTCACAGAACAAGTTGTATGTATTATCTAGCCTTGAAATTCAGTGAGATACACTAATATGAATGCTACAGGATGTCTTGACGAGCCTTAGCAAGGTTTATAACAATCAACTCCAGCTCGCACGTAGATCCCCGAGATATTCGCCTGGCAATGTTCCGAAGGGTACCAGCAGTTCACGTGGTCAGAGTAGCGCTCGAGGGACGAGTCCCCAAGGCAGTATTCCTGAATGTATACCCGCGGAAGACTCTGATGCCGAGTTGCCTAAGCGGAAGAGACGAATGGAAAAGGCTACTACCAAGGCTTTGAGTGAGGGGCTAGATCGTGATTGGGTCATAGTCAAGGACATTCGAGATGATGATTGGGTCTTGGTTGAAAGAGAACCAAGATGATCACTGCATCTTGGTTAGAGCTGCAGTTCAAGCTTGTATTTTTGGGTTGTATTCATCACTCTACCAGGCGATGTAGATGTCATATAATGAGCGTCCTTCTTGTCAAGCGGGTGAACTTCCTCAGTACAGATATGTAAATGGCATATTAATTAGCAAATTAATTCAATCAAAGACTTATTACTAGCGAAATAGAGATATGATTCTTCTTTTCCATGAAGTTCAATGTGTCAACATGAGTTATGACAAGCTTGCAAACTAGACGGAAACCATCAATTGCAGTACAATTTGAATTTTTTAAAGGAAGGGATGAAAGACATATTCACATCTCTGAATGGTAACGTTCACTTAAGAACTTACCAGTGTTAAATACCTATTTTGACTTTAAATTATCCACATCTATGTCAGATCAAAGAACTTGCACACTTTCAAAGAATCAGTTTGTGTTCAGAAAGTTATGATGAGCCATGGTAGTCATCCACTCACTTATTTGTGCTAGCATATAACCTTAAATTCTCGAGATGGTTTGCTGTGCTTTGTATCAAAGATCACCTATTTCACTAGCAAATATATAGGAATCCAATCGATGCCAGTCCAGAAAACTGACTGCCTCATTGTTCGTTTGTGAATTGACCCTAGTGAACTGTTCCTGTACAGAATATGATATGGGTACCGGCTGAGCTAAGCCATACTAGTTACCTGGGTATCTAGTTTCAGTTGCGAATCCAACCTTGGAATTCACCTGTTCTCGCTTGTTAGACAAGCTACTGTAGCTTGTGGGGTCCAAGGTATTTATTTCACAACAAAATTCTCTTCTCAGATTTCAATAAACTCGAACACCTTCTTGCGAGTCTTCTACAATAATCTGCAACACTTCAAAAACCACAACACTCCACAATCAACACATTTTCCTCCTCACAACACAAATTAATATCATGACTCCTCTCGGAGGAATCAGATATCTGATCGCGCATGCGCCGAGAGAAGCACTTGGTGATTCAGAACAGGAAATTCAGGAGTCGATATCCTTTCTTGAAGCAATAGAATGGGTACTCGTGAAAACGGAACGCGAGAGAATGGACAGAAGATTGAATTACTCAGCTCAGGACATCGGACAGCGCCATATAACTTCCACCGATGCGACTAACAACCACGAAGCCACTGAGGAAGGCACCGCTAGTGTCGTCACTAAGAAGGAAGGCGTTCAGGGCAATGTCACCGAAGAAGTCGCCATTGAAGTCTTTCACGAAGATCTCGTCAAGAAGAGTACTGCCGATGAGAAAGTCGCGAAGAAACCTGATTGCGAAGATATTGTTGTGGATGGAGTCACCGAGCAAAGCAAAATTGGAGATTCCGTTCAGGCGGATCTTCTCTTGTTGGGTATGGACATGGAGGATGACGCCGAGAAGAACAACATTGAGAAAGGTGTTATCGCGAGAAATGTCCCCGGAATTCTTATGAACAATTACAACAATTCGGACGCCAATGATGATTTCGAGAACTCTGGAGCCTATTACCATATCATATTGAAGATGGATTGTGGCGACATCGACGAAAAGGTTGTTAAGGCTGAGAGCGAAGACAACGATGATGGCCAGGCTCTAGCTTGAATTTCAAACAATTGGCTGAGATATCACTGAAACCCATTTTCTTCTGTTGTCGAATATCATTGTATGATGGATCGAATGACAATCTTGCAGTGGCTGCGGTAATCATGTCTTCTTTGACTGCGCTCAAAGTCATCAAGGATAATTTCTACTCTACCAATCATAGAAAATGGACATATTAGAGATCAAAACCTGTGCATAATTACAACGTGAATGTATCTTCTCTTTCAACTTGTTTCCATCATTCCATGCTTTATCTATCATTCAAGCAATTCGTAGCTGGACAAAAAGTGTGAAAGCAACAAATGTGACGCAGGTTAAAGGCCAAGATAGTTACAAATTCTTTGTTTAATTTTCCAATTGTTACTCTCACATTGAACTGCAAGTGATCTAATAATACCATAGAATACGGAATTTTGACCTCCAGGAGAAAACAGAGCCGCCGGCGTGTGATGCTTGATACTAAGGAGTGTGGTACCAATCGATATAGCTGAGCTCTGCAAGTCACTAGCAGAACAGAACTGGGCAATGGCCACGAAATACCTAGGATACTCTAAATCTAAATGCATCTGAATTAAACTCACTGGTAAGTGTACATTTCACTGCATTTGCGATCTGTCTTGTAAAACAGCCGTATCACATGCGGCTAACATGTATCATACTCAGTCACCAGAAACTATTCCCCCCAAAAATGAGTTGTAGAGACATGATTGGAGGTGGGGTCTTCTACAATACCACCGCCTATGGACGTAGCAGAGCAAATTCTCTTTTAATGAATTCTACTGTCCACGGGTATCTAAAGACCTTTGGCAAAACACGTGTTAATATTCACTCCGAGCCCCATGCTAGCTCCGTACGGCACTTTTGCACAGCCCAAATCTTCCCAAATTACCATAAAACTTTTCTCACAACTCAAGACTGTCCATCTTTGTTTGTGTCTAACAAACAGAAATACAACTCGAACATCCCGAATCTTAAAGTCAACCTCATCATGTCTACTCTTCCACCATCTGACTTGGCTATATTTAAATACTACACAGAATCGCCACCACCATCGAATAAGTACTCTGGCAAGAGAATCAAGTCAAATGCGGACTTTGCGAAATTTTTGTCCAAAGAAGTTTACAACGCCAGGAAGATGGAACAACAACGTCAAGGTCGCAAGGCCATGCAGATGCATCAGAATCAATCGGTCAAATCCCAGGACATTTCATCTGGACACGACAAAGATCATATGCTTAATCCACCCTGTGATGAGATTCGTAATGATACAAAGGAGAGTACGATTAACGAAATGGGAGAAACAGAGAGAAGAAGTAGATGGACAAGAGAGCAGAGTGATGACAGCCCTACTCTTCGTAAACTGTTGTACACTGATTTGATAATAAAGGAGATGGAAGAACAGGAGAAAAACACGAAATTTGCCAGTTCTGCTTGGATTCCCGATGCAGTTCCTACAAAGAGATCAAGCAAGAAGCATCAGGAGAAAGATGTTAAGTATACTATGGCACCGAAAGCAACAAAACATCGCCATCATACAAGAAGAAATGTCAGAGATCCTGCAGAATTCAAATCACTAGAAGCTCTAATCGTTTCCAGAAAGAATCCCAAGCCAGAAGATTCTGATCTTAAAAGCGACAAAGGAGATCAACAATTCGATACCTTCGTCAAGAACTCCACACCAGCACTCAGTGAGATCAAAGCTAGTTTCCAAGCGACAAGAGACAAAGCGACAACAACAATCAAAAACAGTCAGATTGCTAGAGCAGAAGCAACTAGAGTCATCTTGGAAAGTCAGGCTGTCAGAACTAGAATTGAAAAAGCTCTTGTAAGAAGACACGTCGAAAAATGTCATGCGGAGATTGCTGAGAGTGCTGGACTATCAAGTACAAAGACTGTGATTGCTTCTTCAGTTGATGGTTCTGTTGAGGACATCCTGGAAATGGACAAGAACAACAACAAAGAGATTGCGAAAGAAGCGGTTCAGGAAGCGGTTCAATCTGCAGAACAAGCTGTCCAGAAGGCTGTCCAATCCCAAGACACAACAGTTCAACTCTCTGCCGGTTCTCCCCAGACTTCCAACAGTCCCACCAACACGATGGAAAGCAATGCGAAGAATACCAAGGGTGCGGCTGCCACCAAGGTATCAAAGTATACAGGATGTATGGATGACTATAAGATAGAGTTTGTGACAGAGGCTGAGGATGATGCTGAGAATAATGCCGAGAATGCGGATGCGGAAGAAGATTGGGTGAAGGTCATGGATTACGATGAGGATGAGGATGAGGTTGAAGAAGATGGCTGGCTCCTTGCATGATCAGCCAACAGTCTTCACTGGAAAATGGATTGTTGAAGCTTTCGCATGGTGGTAGTATGGTCTGATGCAGAGTACAAGTAGCCCGGGCAATTAGCATGCCATACAGCTACTTCGCAGATATTTTAGGGAGTTAGGTTGTACAATAACCAGTTTTTGTAAACAATGAAGATCAGAACTTCTGATACGATGCATGATTTCTTTTTATCCACGTAGCTTGCGTCCCGAACTATCATGAGTGAACGCAGCAAACATAAAATATCTTTGAAGCACAAGATGATGCTGTTGCTCCCAGCCCATCATGGCGGGGTAATGCGGGGTAGTGATCTCGGCTGCTATTGGCTACCTCCTGATATTATTCGTCCCCTTTTTGTACCTTAGATAGGTAAGTAAAAATGGATAAAAGCCGGATAATTATCGAATAGCAAAGTACTTCACGATGCTACTCCAGTTCCTAACTATGAACCAATCGAAGTAATCGATCAGAAGTTGATACAAAATATACTCACCACCCACATGCCAAATCTCCCCTTTTCCCACCAAAAACTCACACTGCATAAAGTATAAATGCCATACACATCACCATTACCCCTTAGTCCCCACAAAAACTTGACCACCAACGTGATGAAAAAAAAATCTAAAAAAAATTCCAGATCCATCTATCGAAGCACGCCAGAAGAAAACTTCAGCGTGCATTGCATGTGAATGCCAAGTAGTGGAGATAGCTGTCATTTTCAGCCCGGGTGGAGACTCTTTAGCCCACGGAAGTTATTGCAAGGGCGGGACGAAACAAGACGCTTCGTCCCGCAGGCAATCTATTCTCCTTTGCTAAGGAACAGGCTGACCGGACTGGTGGGACGTGACAGCGGAGTCATTATGTTGTGGATTGTTTGATGCATGTGCGAGAGCGACTGGAACTTGGCGGTGCCTAGACCACCCAAAATAGGAGTGAAACTAAAAGATGCTTCAGGGTGATCATTCAAACAAGCAAGCAAATCAAGGAGCGCCAGAAGGCACCGAGTCTTGCGACCCATTGAGAAGATGGAATTACTAGCTACTGTAGTATAGAATGCCCAAATCGAACTCCGATGCCCCTTCTATTATTCCCATATCCGTTCAGTTCAGTTGTCCTTGTTGCCTCGTGACAAACCATATTGCATGTGCCATCTACCATTTTGACGCAATTTTTTATCGGAACCCCTGATACCTATTACCCCAAAAGAAAATCATCATCATCATGTCATAAAACTCCAAAGAGACACCCAAAGGATGGAAAAAGATCCACAGAAACTCCATCCTCTTTTCCAACACTTGGTATGAAGATCCACCCTCCCTATTTACTCCGAGTCTCTCCTCTCACTCATCTGCTTAGCCCTTCTTCTGGCCTCAATAAATTTATTCAAGTGTTCTCCGATAGGACCATAAGCCTCGACTGGATACCAGCACTTCCCCTCATCATCCCACGTCGTGACAATAATACTAACTTCCGATTCTGGTTGTTGAACCTGACGAACGGGAGCTCGTTCGCGTGCGTTACGGTTTGAGATAGCCATAGGAATGCGAAGAGATGAGGACGAAGAAGCTTGTCGTGGTCGAGAAGAGGCGTAGTTCGGATAAGGAGTTGAGTTGAGCATTCGCTTATTGGAGAAGGCGTGGGCGTTGCGGGGTGGTGAGATCTGCATGGTGATGACTGTTCTGAATGTTCTGGTATTTATGAAATGGAATCAAGAAAGATTAAATTGTAGAAATGTGAATGGAGGGAATTAAATTCGATGATTGGCAGATCTGGTCGACGACGTTGGAAGGCTGAAGACTGGAATGAACATTAATATGTGTAACAATGTAACGGTGTAGAAAAAAGTGCTTTCGTTATTATCAACTTCTGGTCGAACTTGAGTATTTATCTGACGAAGCGGTAGTGAAAAGAGTATGAAGTTCAAAGCCCATTGCAGTGCTTGATATGGTGTAACAAATTGTATGTTTCTTTTTTGTCAAAAAGTAAGAGCGAATTAATAGGTGGGAAAATGTCTCAATATATAGAATGTTTAGGTTGGTTGTGGATGAAATTGAAATGCCTCATAGATTTGATCACGCAGGTCCATCGAACTTTAGAGGAATGTGAAAAGACGCCAACAAAAATTGGGCACTTGTGGATGATGGCTTGTGTATTGGGCTAGCACTGAACATGGTAGGTAAATAGCCCGGGCAAGGTTTTAAAAAATCTAAAAGGGTAATGGCAATCTATCTCGCCTGTTTACGCCCTGTATGTATAAACCTTACCGCAACTTTACGAAGCACATCAGAATCGATCGAATTAGTTGAGACCAAAACCCAATCAATGTACAAGTAAATGTAAGTATTAGCTGAAAGGAGTAATTGGGTTCGGTATTTCCTCGATATTTTTTGGTGCTTGGGCAATGGTGTTATGGAAGGTCCGTTCATGTGCTCCGTGATAATAAAGGGGCTCGGATTGGGTAGTCATCTCACCGCCAGATAAGCTTTGGTGGAACTGTGATTGTCGCTATCATGATACTTGAAGTATTTCAGATACGGTGTACAAGAAGTCTCGTCGACTTTCTTGAAACTTGGTATTGTTCCTGCGAGTTTCCCATTTGAGAGTCTCCATCGAACCCATTCAGTTCCTGATTGGATTCAGCATGCAATTAATTTGTTAATGATGATGTTGGGACTTGGGATCACGCATAGTGGACTTGTATATTCGACTTGGCTATGGTAACCTTACAGTAATAAGCTGTGAGTGGACTCGTGGACTAATGTTTGACTCGTGGTTGGTGAAATTCCCGCTTTTCTAAACGAGTGATAATGGACTTTGATGACTTTGATGAGGGGACCCCATGTGATTTGACCCATCTCCTGATCTTCAACCGATCAAAACCGAATTATAAATGGGCCCTATGGGTGATGATTAACATCACGTGAATTCCCAAGATGTTCTGGAACAATGTTTTAGTGTTCTCATCGAGATTTACTCCTCATTTTAGTTGCGTAGAGTTACGTACTAAAAAGAACACGCCGAGTAAAAGTTTGTTTGGTGGTAGAAGATACAACCGATCACAAGCTCTGGAATAGCTATGGTGTAATCTGCCTTGCATAACGCTGTTGTATAACCTGCATTCGTCTTCGATTTTGGTTATAAGCTATTTGTGGCGAGCATGTGAAGCAATAGCATCTAAATCAACGTTCGATAGGAACTTTTTTGGAATTTTGTGATTCCCAAGAAAAAAGAGTCAAGTGTGTCTCTCAGACAGTACTGAAACCTTGGTAATCGATCTTCCAACCTGAAATTCTATATTAGGAAGACCATTGTTCCCGCAAAACAGGCACAATTGATTCATTGCTATCATTTCCGAATGAAGTCGTGCATCAACTTGACTAGACCCTTTACAGTCACGTCAGCCACATTGAAAATAGAGTAAGTAGGTGCCCAGGTGTGCTTCGATGCTCTGTGCCAACCTCTCAGCACAGCGCATCATGTGGCTTGATATTACTTGATAAAAATTACCTGCAATACACTATTGCTCGGGAAATCGTACCCCACGATCACTATTAGCCTAGTTTCACGACGTTGGACTACCTATATTACCACTGTGATTTAATATTCTGGGGTTTTTGGACCGGATCATGGATTATCTGCTTTGAACCGAATTTTAATTAGCCAGTTGTGTCGTGTTGTCCCAAACAAGAATTTGTCAACCTTCAATATTTCCATCGAAATCATGTAACTTGACCTCATTGCTCGGGGCATATACGAGAGACCAGTTTATTCAACACATCCTTTCCTTTGGTCCTTTTCTGGAGGCAATCCAAGTATCTCAAGTCGCAGCTGGGCTCCAAAAGGACCGGTGGAAACATTGGCGTACGCGTTTCTCTTGCAGTACTGATGCTTCGGTTTGACTTGGACCCTGATGAAAGTTTATCGCACGGTTCCTGTGTTATTTGCGGGGTTGGAATCCTTATTTTGTTTGTATCCTCGCCTGATAATGGTGATTAGTATTCTAAATAGACATCAAAGTTTTGACATCTACCTTTTGACATCCATCTACCTTTTGTTGCGCTGGCACTCGCTGAGCTTGGCAAGTGTAGGAGAGTGTTTGGGTAAAACCTAGGGTTCTTATCCTCATTTTGGCTATTTCTGCTGTTCGCCCGACGGATTCTTGGCCGGAACAGAATTGCCGAGTTTAATTGAAAACATAGCAACGATTAAGATATGCAGCGAGACTGCTACTCTAACGCAGTCTCGGAGTATGGAAGACCATTGCTTCTAAGCCATCTGCATTGCTTTGAAAGAATTTCTCGTGGCTGATGCAGTCCACGTTATCGCATCATCCCTCTACGATTTCTCCCAGAATGTCTAAAGAAGTAGACGATCTTGCCACTAGAACTAGTTCCCGGAGGGCAGTACCCACATTGTCTCAATTCGTTCTATCCTCATCCTCGTATTTGATCGCATATTTTCCAACCCTATACATATTACTTCATGAATGTAACTTGAAGCACAATCTTCGACCTCGATCAAATCCGGTCTGGCTGCTTCGAGCCCCGTCCTAACCAAATCCAGTGTTTGCCAGAAATTATTGAAGACTTGAAGAAGCTGTCTGCACCGAAGCAGGCGTCGGCTATTCTGCCCGCGCCCAAATTGAAGATTGCATGAAGAGAGTTTGAGCTTGGTATCCTCACTGAGGACATAAAGCAGCCAATGCCAGTAGAACAAAATGAAAGGGGCTGATTTGTCTGCATTGCGCAAGGTCCTACAAAAACGGGAAAGAGCATTTGCAAATTCGGAATGACCATAATTTCTCGCGGTAAGAATGAATGTAGCTGAGTTTGAAAACACGTCGCGTGGACCCGACTTGAAATTTTTTAAGTTTGGGCATGATTGATTTAAGCTTTCATTGGCACACCAACAGTGTTGTGCTGTGAAATTACATCCTGCCATCGTCTTTCTTTGGCAGGAGCTTCTCCAGATCCCCCTTTATTTTGAT